ATTTTTAGATTTGATACTTTGATACTTTTTTGTTCACAAATACCCCATTTTGATACCTTGGCTGGCAGAAATTAATTTTTGAAAACTATGAAAAATATTACTAGTTTATAAATAGGTAAATAATTGTTTTCTTGTTATTTAAAGTTTTACAGCCAATATCGCGAAAGCAATTTAAGTGAAAAATTATTTATTTATTTTTTTTTAATTTTATACGAAAATTTAAAGAAAATAAAAAAATGATTTTCCATCTAAATTGCTGGTGAAATCGGCTGTTAAAATTTTAAATGTATTTATAAGTTTGATTTGTCAGCTCTTATAAGGGAAATACAACCCGGAATTTCTTTGTACACGCCGCTGTTTTGGGACCCCTAAACCACACAAAAACATTGCTCAATATTGCGCTTGCGTCGGTCATTTGTGTGATGTGTGGGGTTGTTTGTACTTAATTACACAGTTATCGCGCTAAAATTATTTTCATATTTTGTGCATGCATTGTACAATAATTTGTGTTGCGTATGGCGACAACTGCGCAATTTTAAGACGTAGTTCTTAAAAAATTTGTTACGCTTTCTACTACGGTTTTCTACGGTTTTGTGCAGAAAGAGTACAAGGCAACCCATGTTTGCAACAGAAATATATGCCCGTTCCATTATTTCTTGAGGAAAGGATGAGGCAAGAGGCTGTGAAGTATCAGATGTTCCTTGGACATACACAATTTTATCTTGGCCGTTTTCTTAAGAGCTGGACATTAAGCTTAACTATGGATTAAATTATAAAATTTTATTTAGTATTTGTTTTTCAAATAAAAGTTAAAAAAAACAACAGTTGTGTTTGCTTTTAATACTTTTTGATACTTTTTCTGCTTGGCAACTGATACTTCTTTTTTCAAGCTCGCGGCAACGCTGATTGCGAGCAATGAAACAGAATTTGCCTTGTTTGTGTTTACTCTTCCTGTGCTCTAGTTTTGCTAAGTAATTAAAACCATTATCAGTTGAAATTGGCTCTTTCAATAACCATACTAAAGTATCCATTATATGGTTCGTAAAAGTACATTCCCTGCTGATGCTGCTTCTTTACATTCTTATTTGTGTGCACTTGCAGTTATTCGCCTGCTCTGCTTTTATCTAATCAATATAAGGTATCAGTCTTATTTATTATTTTCATTCAACTTTGTGCTCGGTTTTCTTTTTCCAGTAAGATTCTTCTACCAATTAGGAGAAATTAAGATGAAAACTGGAAAAATGAAGCATACGTCTGCTTATTTGTGCAGTCGGTTTATTTTCATTTAACGTGATGCGTATACATGTGTAGTCAGAGAATAAATGTGTTGGACTAACATGTACGAGTATGTATGTACATGTGTATGGGCATAAGTAAAAGTAGTTCAAAGCAGCTTTTTGAAATCGCTTAGGTTTCGGTGGCTGACTTAAAGAGCGCTGAAAGCGGAAGCCACATAATAAATTTAATTAGAGCAGGAATTTAAATAATGATGCAAAATAAATATAGAGGTATCCACATCGATATCATGGTGCTAGAAACATTGATTAAATGATAAATTTATCAATTAAAATAGTAATAACTATTGGCTGAGGTAAGGCACCGATTCCAAGGAATCTACTGTGCCCTATTTATCTTTACTACTCCTCATCAAGCCCTGACCCCATTAAAAAATCCAAAGGTTGTTAATTGACATGGAGTGTATATTTTTTCGCGCTGGGATTGATGACTCAGACAATTCTCTGAGACATTTCTAGCGTTTTATCGATACTGAAGACCAGGTACTTAGAAGTTTAAGCTGAAATGCCACAAAAATTATATACAGCGCTCATAAATGATGTCTGTCCGTCCGTCCTTCTGTGCCTCTGGGCACATGATAACTCAGGTAAAAATTGAGATGCCAAACTAAATTTAGTAGAAGTATTTTTTTGAGCCAAGGACGGATGATTTTGAAAATGGGAAAAAATTGGACAATAACCACGCCTAATTTCGATGTAACGGTAGTTTGCAGAAATACGAAATCTGCGATATTTTTTACTAAGTACTGAAGGTTGTTCACTCAAAATTATATCTACAATGATCTTAAAGAATATTTTAAATTTTTGGAAAATGATCGTAGCCACGCCTACGCATGATTACATGTGCATATACCCGTAACAGCTTCACAATTTGCACCTAAACTTGGAACAATTGTTTTTGGTAAAACATACCAAACCGCCAAAAATTAAAAAATACGCACAATAACCACGCCCACATCCCATATACGGAAGCTAACTTATTCAAAATTGATGTTGTTAATACCTCTTTAGCAGCAAATATCACTATACAAAGTTTTTGGAAAATGGGTCTGACACCGACCACATATAAACCCATATGTGTATCTCGGTAATCGTTCTAGCAATATGTACCAAACTCGGTATAATTATTGTACTTGACACAGAAAAGCAACGTGTTGAAAATTTTTGAAATCGAATTTAAATTACGCCCACTTTTCATATAGCGGTAAATATCAGAAATGCGGAAACGTCGATATTTCGAAATTTAAGGACACTAATTTACTCAAAGTTGATACTCACAACAATCGCTTAAAAAGAAATAGAGTTATTATGGAATTTCGGAAAATGGGCGTGGTACCACCCACTATAAACTACATAAGTTTATCACATTAAGTCTAACTGAAGATACCAGCGAAATTGTTTGAAATAAGGTTAAAACCAACCTGCTTACCACATAACAGTTGTTTTCAGAAAGGTTAAAAAAATATATTTAATACGTGCGCCGGATATTTAATGATCCGCAAAATTTACAATATGTATATTAATCAATAATTCAACATGTTCGACCACTCTAATGTGCACTTATATTTGCTTACACTCGCTTTGTACTTTTTTAATACGGGTGTATGTACATACAAAATTACACAAACAACGAAAATGGGAATAAACAATTACATTTAGTTTTGCATATGCTTTAAATGTAGTTTGTATTAATAATTTAATTTCGAGATATTTCACAGATCCCTTCTGAACATTTTGGGTTTTTTCGAGATTTATTGAGATCTTTAATTTTTTAGTGCTTTTTAGGTAATTTTAAGGCACCACAATTTGTTTCTATCCTATCTTTGCTTTTTACGAATTCCCAAAAAATAGATGAATTAAGCTATTTAAAAGGCCAGTACTGTTTATTCCAAGACCGACCATGGTATCCGATCAGGAGCCTATGCTATGCAACATAGAAAGCTACTTTTGACTAGCGAGGAGTGAGCCAAGAAAGTGGGTCCACCGATAAACACATCCACATAATTTAGTGGTAGTGCAATAATGCTCAATACTGTCTACATTTACTATGACTACGGGACGATGCTTCTCGCCTTGAAAGCACGCGAAGTCACCGCAAAGTGGTGTGCAATAGCCTTCAGCTGTGCACACTCATAACTTCCTGAAACTGACTTTACCATCTGGCTATTAGGACATAGCGGCAATTAAATGGCCAAGAAGGAATTGTAAGATTACTAGGGAAATGGCCGTGGTAATTAGGTGACCTGCTCCCTCCTCTAAATAATAATCAAATTTAATCTAGGATTGTAAATTATAAAAAATACGTACTTTGTTGCCCGTGGAATTTTATATTACTCAGCAATAGTCGCATACTTCCGCGTGCAACATAGCGTACCGCCTGCTTGAGTCTCCCGTGATGACGATGTTGTTTACATTTGGCAAATGTAAATAAATTAAAATATTTTCTGGCTCCTTCAACCATCTTTGAGCATTTTTTATTCCATTATTTCACTGGCATGTCTTACCTAATTCATTATTTCTTTAGTGAATCAAGAGATAACGGTTTATTTATCTTATATTCGCTTTCAAAATTTTTGGTTTTAAATCACTTTGTGCTGACACTAATTAATTTTCCCAGCAATGGCGCTTGTCAGACAAGCGACATGCCGTAAGTGGGATAAGAGGACTGAGTTCATTGCTATGCGCATTATTCTATAATTGTTCATCTTCTCTTCCCTCGCTCATATCCTACATATAGCAATTGTTGTACCAGCTATGAGCTATGTTTAATTAAAAGCTTTATCAAGGTTAGCGCAAACGAATGACGCGCATTCACCTCACCTCATTGTTAATATTGTCTATTTAACTATTTATTTATAAAAACAGGGAAGAGGAGAAGCACTTTGCTTTCATCTCTCGCTTTCGGTAAGTGGGTGTGCATTTCCACCTCTCACGTTCTCTCGCGCTTTTTAGCTCATTGTAGACAGACTGTCGCATCGCGTTTGTCTTGACTTCCTTGATGTGTTATTATTAACATTAATTAATTCTGGCAGTGCGCTGCTGAGTATTTTTATTTGCGATTTTCTTTCATTTATTTGCTATGGAATTTCTTTTGTCTTCTCACTTTAATGTAGATTTCCATATTTCTGTTTTATTGTTTCATATTTTTTTGTGTGTAAATTTTCCATATTCATGCAACGTGTGCAACAAACTTAAACATTGGGACTTGATTTAATGCAATGTCCTTGTCAAGAAGAAAATTGTTGCCTTTGTAAAGATTTTGTATACCTAATTTGGAAGTTAATTATTTTCGCCTTCAATTATTTGAAGACAGCTCAAGGCATTGCAGTTAGATGGCTGGATATAAATATCGCACGTTTAATAATATACAGAATTATTTCAAAATTTCAATCTTGTGGGGAAACGCAGTCAAAGTTTGATCAACTCATGCAGTGGGTATACCAAAATACACATATCTTCACCATTTTTGGGAAATTTAGTCATCTGTTAGGTTGAACGCCTTCTACTTATCAAGCTGATGAAATATCCAAAAACGTAAATTTTGAGTTACATCTCTATATTATTATTAATACAATCGCATAATGGTAATTATTTCTGTTAGAACTTTTTTAGGAAAAAAATTTTAGAATTATGGCCCAAGCTTTTAATTACCAACTGGTTTCTTGATGCTCATTCTAACAGATTCATACCCTTCTATCTTTACAGCTCACACACAAAGGATTTTATAGTGGTGAGCAATCTTGTTTGAATCCAGCGAACATTATTGGAGGGTTCGGATTTAGTCGCATTTATCTTGCTATGCCTGCTTATTAAACTTTTAAACTTTTAAATCGCCAATCTTTAGGGTTAAGCGACGTTGCCAAAGAAGGCAAACAGATGCACCTTTTATGGAGGTGTAAGTTTTAATCCTCGCCCATACCCATGCTAGGAAGTAGTCTCTAACTACTAAGCCCTTTACAAAAAATGCCATAGCTAGTTATTATTGAATTGAGTTAAAGTTTGAATGTGGAAGCGAAAAGGCCTTAAATGCCTATATGCATGAAGAAAAATACTCTCGAAAACATGAGACCTATATCCTCGACAAACGTAGCTCAGATGGCAGTTGCTCCAGCACCCGACAAATCATTAAGGGAGTTATGTCTGTAATAGCTAACTCCCTTTGTGTTCGGAAATGCAGGAATAGGATAAAAGAAGTTTGCGTAAATAGACGAGCCATTATCCAACGGGCGCCAAAAGACAAAGGAATTAAAGGGTATAAGCGGGCGAATAAGTTAGCCAAAATCTCGGAAAGTGCAGCTTCTATATAAATCATTACTCGGGTCCCTAAACTTGGTGGCCATATGCTAATAATCCAATGTGTCTTTGGAGAGCCTTAGCAAACTCCACGTTTTTCGTTGATCGCGCATATGAGCAGATTAATTCACTTGCTCTAGCTCGTCTGTCTCCTCATTTCCTAAATTTGCAAGATTGCAGGGATCATCGGTTTTCGTGAACGCATCTCAAGCAAGTCACTACCGACCCTAGGAATTTGCTTATAGCTTGACTTATCACAACGAAGGCGAATTTTGGTGGAACTAGCAGCATACACATACAGTGTCGGTCATATCAATTGCACTTTCATTTCAAAGTGATATTATTTTCCACTCATGTTCATATATTTATTTTTAAGAACTTTTAATTAAAACACAGTTCATTCACATTCACTAAAAAAAAAATCAACAAATGTTCATCCAAATTTCAAAATATTTTCTCTCTAAAGTGATTGAATTTTTTGATCATACATAGGAACATTTTTATTGTCAATTCAATTCTAATGTAATGATGTGCAAGTTTCAAGTGGCTAAAAATTACCGTTGATATTTTAGAATTTTTTTGCTGAAGATGTGGCGGTTTTCTTTCGTTTAACGAATAAACACAATTTATTTTAAGCCTGCAATACGCGTTAGTTATCTAGGTGTCTACAGATTATTTATGTTCTAATGTTAATTTCGGAGTTACTTGTGAAGCTCCAGATATTGTGATTTTTTTGACGACATTAAGTTCTCAGCCATTTCTGAGTGGAAAGTGGATTTGAAACAGAAGTCAAAGTCAACTTTCATGATCTGATAATCACGACCTCTACACTCCACCCCGATATTCCTATAATAAAAACAAGTAAGAAAGTCTCGCAAGTATTTAATACATATATATATGTTTTTCACCTTTCCGAAAGCTACCGGCACATGGTAAACCGGGGTGTATCAGTTTTGAGTAAATTAGCGTCCTTAGATTTCGAAATATTGAAGTTTCAAGCACTTCTGAAATTTACCGTTATATGAAAAGCGGCCGTAAATTTAGTTCAATTTCAATATTTTTCAACGTTTTGCTTTTATATGGCAAGCCCAATAACCATACCGAGTTTGATGCAAATTGGTAGAACGGTTACCGATATACATATATGTGGTCATAAGTGGGCGGCGCCACGCCTACTTTCCAAAATTTTATCATAAACGTATTTCTTGGTAAAGAATTGTTGCAAGCTTCAATTTTGTATAAATTAGCTTAAATATTTACTTATTTATCGAAGATTTTGTTTTTCTCTAAGTTACCGTTATACGGGATGTGGGCGTGGTTATTGTCCGATTTTAAAAATTTTCGGCCATTTTGTTTGCTTATTGCATGCACCCCACGCTTTTCATTTTCAATCTCATAAATTGTTTGTAACGACTTTTGCTAAAATTTCAAAATCAAAAGTTATCAAAACAAATCCTATGGGACTGAGAAATATTATTTTCTACTTTTACGTCCATTTATAAAAGCGTTGTATATTAAAAAGTTTTTTTTAAATATTATTTATCATTCTTATCATTTATGTATTCATCTGTCTATATCTATCTCGATTCGTTTTGCCTGTTACAAAGAACCGTTGTGTGAACAAAGTTATAATACCCTTGTGCAAAAGTGCGCCCGGGTATAAAAGTAATACTGATTTCACTCAAATTTTTGATCAAATTAGATGAAGTATGTTGTTGCAAGGATTTGAAGAATCGTTTTGCATCATTTAAGTGAAACTGAAAACCATTGCCAAATAAGCAAACGAAAAATCAGAACTGAAAAATAAATATTTATTACTTGGTACTGGTCACCAAAATGCTATTTGTTGTTTTTCTTTTCATCTGAACTGAGTTCGGTTTGAAAACTGATACTTCCATTTCATAACTCACAAATCAATTTCCCGCAATGACCTGTAGCCAAAAAATATTTTATTTCATTACAAGAGCAATTATAAAGAAAAATATGAATAAATATTTTGGCTGCGAACTATTGAATAATATCCATGACCAAGAGTACTAAAAATTGCCAAAAAAGCATTGCTTAGTAAAAAACATTCAAATTGTGAACTAAAATGGCAGCTAAAGTTGAGGAGGCTGCCTGAACTGCCATTTAAGGCAGAAGAGTATGACTGCAGTAGCAGTGACAGCATGAAAAGTGAGGTTAAAATTTTGGCGCGGTCAGCTGCCAATTTCTTCTGATTTTACTTGATTTCGGTTTTGTTTTCCTGCAATTTTTGAAATTTTTATTTCACCTTTTCTGTACTTGATATTCTATTTGCAAATATCGAACATCAGATTTTGCTAGTTGATTAGTGAATGCCAACGCACTCGATGGTCGGCTGCCAAATAACGTGACAAACCCCACAACGAAGTTTGGCGCAAAGTAATAAAAATTGAGAATTTGAGTGTTTTGGCATATGGCCAGCTTGTGTGGTGCAAGCATGTGCTTTTACAAGCGCTCTCATAACTATGTAGATATAAAAAAGGTTTTACTGTTATGAATGAAAGTAAAATATTTGTTAAGGTTCTAAGGCATAATTGAAATTGACTGCAGAGAGGAAAGCAAGAAATTAAAAAAATATATAATAATTAATTTGAGAATGCATATGAGTGTGCTAGACAAAAATTGGATGTCAAAATTTGTTTCCTGTGCTTTGTTAAAGTTTTGAAAGGAATACTCGGAAAAGTACCAAGGTAAATAAATTATTCACATCACATTAGGGAATTATTAAATACTAGATTGTCCTCACCCACCTCGCTGAGTGTATGAAATTTTGCTGTAATTTAATTCAGTAAAACTCAACATACTTATAGCCAGTTTCAACAGCAATTTAAATGAAAAATGATTTTTTATTATCTGTCAATTTCCATATAAGTTTCAAAAAATTAAAATCATTTTTCACTTAAATTTTGTGAAATTGGCTGTTAAAGTCAGATAAAAACAAACGAGATTTTAAAATTTTTTTAACCCTCTTCAAACATTTTTCAAACTAAATCTTTCTTAAAAGTCTTTCTTGTGATACATTTGCACTTAACTTATTACTTAACAAATTTTCGTTTGACTCCCATTTTTAAGTTTTTCATATATTTTCACAGCTTGCGAATAATTAATTTAAATTTGATTTTTTAAACAGTAGGCAGCCGTTTTTAAAATACAAAAAATTTCATCAAACTGCAACCCTTTTCAGCCTCTGTCTTCTGATACCCATATTATAATAAAAATTTCAAATAAATAATTCTCTTAATTCAAGTTGAATTCGATTTTTCAATCCAGTGTGCGCGAAATTTCATTTTCGAACAGGTGGAAGTTGGTTACTTAGTTAGTTAATTTTCTGGGTGTACCTCTTTAAAGGAGTCTCTAACCCAATGTGGTCAAGATACCTTCGGCTTTTATCATTTCTCTTCTGTATTGTAATATTTGATTGAACTTTTTAACTTATTTTAATTTAATTTAACCTTTTTAAGATACTTTTTTACATATTAGTAGGATTTCTAAAAAACTATGTAACAAAGCGATTACCTATCATTCAAAGAATTCAAAAATTTGGAACATCGAAAAGTATTTCACAAAAATTTTGGACATATATGAACGAGTTTCGGCACTTTCGAAGCTCTGAGGTAGTTTTAATTTTAAAAGAAATAGTGCTTATTAAAAAAAAAAACCAAAACATATAAGTACCAGTAAAAGAAACCCGTAAATTATTTTCTCTTCTTTCTCCGCCATAAATTTTATGTATTTTTTTTTTAATACTGGTCCTAACTAATTTTTCATTACTGTTTGTACACGCAGTATGCCTTCACTGATTGCTGTTGTAATGCATTATGGCATTTTAATTATTTACACGCTTCATTTGTTCGTAAACACAATAAATGCTTGAGTGGCTGAGTTCATTATGATGCCAAAATATAGTAGATAGACAATAAATGATAAGTGCTCTATTAATATATATCTTTATGTACAAAGTTACCTGCGTGCTTATGTATATGTATGCAAATGAAAATTTATGCACATATATACGCCAAAGTTTTGGCTTCCTTTAGTAATACATACATACATGTGTATGAACGTTCAAATGCCGTTTTAAAACACTCCCTCATATAAACATACACATATGTAGCTGCTTAATTTACAATTTATATACAAATATGCTTTTGAAGTTAATTGCTGCCAAAATACCAGCACATTTACCTATGCTAGAACATATGTACATATAACTACGGTGACCATCCGTCCTGTATTATACGGGACAGTGCTCTTTTTTGACCCATTGTCGTGGTATTTTTTTTATTTTATACGGGACGCCAAATGTTCTGTATTTCTTTTAATTTCCTGTATTTGTCACTTATTCGGTGTTCCGACGCCTTAACAGCTCATTAAAATGGCACGCCTATGAACAAGTTTTAAGTGATGTTGGTGTATAGCCGTAATTTTCTTTATAAACAGTTATTACTTTCTAATATTAATGCCTGTCAATGTTATTGTGGCTTGTTAACATTGTTATTTTTAATATTTTTATTGAGCTTTGTACCACGATTGTTTATTAGGAAAAATTGAAAAAGCAACAAAGTCTAAGCGGTAGGA